AGAATTATTTCAGCTTGTACTGGCATCATTTCAGCACCATAGTACGCGTAACACAACGATCACCGCATTCTTACTTGCAGTGTGCCTCTGTTTGTTGTTTCCATGATCATTTGATTATGAACCCAGGGATCACACACATTCCAGCTTAGCAAGTAGTTCGATGGTTATAACAGGCTTGTTTTCCATACTAATCTCCTTATTTCTATATTGTTTTCACTCTGGGAAGTTGTTCACAAAGGTAAGCACGAAAATACCATCCAAAAATACCACTCGGACACCAGTACAACGACAGACGTAATCCACAGGTTTTCATAAATACTGACAATCACTTGCCGACTCAAACCACCAGTAATCGCTGCTTCCCTTCATGTCGTACACATTTCGTAATTAACCTAGAAAATAGGCACACTGTTAGACACTGTTTTCAGCTTCTGTGATGACATCCAAATACGCATAATCAGCTAAACATGTCTTTTTATTGCTAGTTTCATTACCACTACCTACAATCTAGATAGATTGATAAACTAGACAGCTTTTGGTAGAACTCATCCTTCGTTTCATCTGAACTGCAGTCAGTGGGGGCGTAGGCGGAGATTACGAAAAGGCATCGGCGAGTAGTGCAGTCCTTTCTCCTTTTTACTGACCCGTTCAGACGGACAGCACACATTCGGCTATCTACCGGGATCCAGTCAAGCAATGTCTTTTCTGCCCTAGTACTCAAAGCTATCCCTACACCAGCTAATCCTCGTGAACTAGCTGTGGCATCTCCTGACACCCTCAAGGTGAATTTTGCAGATTCAACCTGTTGGCCAGGTGGGGTTAGGTGAATAACCACACTTGGGTCTTGTATGCGTGTTTCTGAAACACAGCATACATCAATGGCTCGAGATGCCAGGGTCTTGGCTAGTGATGCTTGTTGTCCCATTTGGCAAAGTGTTCTAACATTAGAAGCTCCTATATGAAATTGGTGGCGGGGCTTTAAGAGGCTGTCGGTGGTGGTTTTTTGGCTTACATCGTTTTTAGTGGATGCAGAGTGGAGAGCTATCAAGTCGAGGAGTTTCATCAGTGGAAGGAAGGCAAGATGATAGAGATGAAGATGAAAACAAAGATGAGTGAGTAATAGAGAGGTTTCGCGTGCGTTTCAGATTGTGAGGGCGATTGTTACTTCCCGGCTGCCCACACCGTGGAAGTTGGTTGCGTGACCGCAGAGCCCAGGGGACAACTGCTTGAGGCCGGTCACATGCGGCCTGCTTTTGTTTGTTCTTTATTGTTTGGTGTGCCTCAGTAGCATACTTATCACTCCTGCCCTGTGACACGGCAGCAGGAAGCGCGGTCGTTGTTAATCCGGGCCACGGCCGATCCGGCATGAAATTTTGTGATTTTGTATTTATCATGATGTTGGAATGGGTAGCTGCTTTTTGTTCAACCGCTATCCAAACAATCTGCCTGGCGGTGTAGGACCTCAAGAGACATAAGTCTCAGCCAGTATAGCTTGAATAGATCATTGCGGTGTTCAAGCCCGACCACCACGTCAAGGTAGCAGCTTTCGGTCGTGATCTGGATCTCCACCGCCTCATCCGAACTGATGGATGCTAGAAGACTTATTCCGGCGAGCTCCGAATTCAATGAGGAGCGAAAGCTACACAAAAGGAAACTTACGAAAAGTCTCCGCAAGGACCGTGAACAGTGGTGGGTGACAAAAGCGAAAGAGGTGGAGAAAGCTTCGAGGATAGGCAACATCAGGCAACTATTTAGACTCATCAGGGAAACGGGTGGGAGAAGACAAATCATTAGTGAGACAATCTCGGAAAAAAATGGCACTATAATTAGCTCCCAGGATAGACGACTGGATCGTTGGAAAGAGCATTATGAGGAGCAGTTTAATTGGCCCACAGCCACGCTCAACCTTCCGAACATCCAACACCTCCCTGAATGGGATATAGACACAGGTTCTCCATCCCTAACTGAGGTTACTAAAGCTGTCACCAATCTGAAAGGAGGTAAAGAAGCAGGACCTGATGCAATGACTCCAGAGGTATTTAAGTACGGTGGAGACAGTTTACTGTTTGCATTAACTGAGGTACTAGGCAGCGTCTGGGAATCAGAAGAAGTCCCAACGGGTTGGTGTAAGTCACTGATTATCCCCATATACAAGAAGGGAGACAAGTCTTCCTGTGATAATCACAGAGGGATTAGCTTGACTAATATAGTATCTAAAGTCTTAGGCTCAATAATCATGCGTAGACTGAGTGGTGCTCGGGAGGCACAAACACGAGAGAGCCAGGCAGGCTTTAGACCAGGAAGAGGGTGTATTGATCATATCTTCACCCTCCGACAGATTCTAGAACATAGGAATTCCTACCGGCGTCCAACAGTCATTATATTTCTTGACCTAAAGGCAGCATTCGACTCTGTCGATCGAGAAGTTCTCTGGAGATGCTTGACTGTAAAGGGAATTCCGAAAAAATATATTGCACTGATTAAGGCACTCTACTCGTACTTATACAGCCAGGTGAGGGCTTACGGCGAGCTGTCATCTGAACTGGTGACGACCAGTGGTGTCCGTCAAGGATGCCCATTATCCCCTTTTCTATTCAACTTCATCATAGATGTGTTAATGGACTTAACCCTAAGTGACTTCAGCAACTCAGGGATTGACTTGATACCAGGGAATAATCTCGTTGACTTGGAATATGCAGACGATATAGTCCTTCTAGGCGAAGACGCTGACGAAATGCAGTCTTCTAAACACCTTGAGCCGCAATCTACGAATGTTTGGCATGCGATTCGCTCCCGCCAAATGCAAGATGATGTTACAGGACTGGACTACATCGACGCCTAGTTTAAAAATAGGAAGTGAAGTGGTAGAGCACGTTGACCGCTTCACTTATTTGGGAAGTACCATCAGCCAGTGCCAACGGGTTGATCTCTGACGAAATCTCAGCACGGATACAGGGGGCTCGTTTCGCATTTGCCAGTTTACGCCGACTCTGGCGTAGACGAGATGTTCGACTATCGACCAAAGGGCGGGTGTACTGCTCATCAGTCCGCTCCGTCCTCCTTTATCGTTGTGAGACCTGGCCACTGAGAGTGGAAGACATGAAAAGACTAGCTGTCTTTGATCATAGGTGCCTGCGTTCTATTTCCCGTGTAAAGTGGCATAATAAGGTGAGCAACATTGAAGTTAGGCGTAGAGTTCTAGGTAAACAGGGGAAATCAATCGACGAAGTCGTGAAGTTACAAAGACTGAGATGGTTAGGACATGTGTTACGTATGCCAAGCCATCGCCTCCCTCGACGAGCAATGTTAGCGGATATAGGGTCAGGCTGGAAAAAAGCTAGCGGTGGTCAAACAAAAACTTGGCATCAGTCAATGAAATCCACAACAGTTGGTCTAAGCCACGTAGGAAGGTGTAGACTTCCAGGCTGGGGTCCTCGGGACGGTAAAAATCTATGGTTGGAAACAATTGGTGACATGGCTCAAAATCGTTCTCAGTGGCGCAGATGCATCCACTCCTTGTGACTTATGATCTCCAATGAAACTGTTTTGTTCTTCGTTATTACTCCTTTGTCTCACACCTCTGCTCACTGTTTCTATTATGCTTTTCTTGTACTTTCTTCTCTTGCTTCGCGTGCTACACGGAGTGTGGAGACTTGAACTTCCGCACATTTGTGCAAAGTTCTATGTCGAAAACAGACAGATTGATAAACGCGCGAAATGTCATACTCTGTGATACATAATAATTGGCGGAAAATATCGGAATATGTTTAGCTTACTTTGCTCATTTCTAAAACATATCTCTCACTGACATAAATAGTAAGTGACGACGGCAGTTCTCTAAAATTCTGAAATTAAGACACTTAGGGAAAAATGTTTACCACTATTTGTGTTGACAATGTTAGTGTGTCGAATGAAGATGTTCAATTGAGGTTGAATTCTGTCTTCATTCCCCTCTCCTAATTAGTGAATCTGTAGCCCATTGTGTATGACATACTGCTCCATTTCAGCCTTTTTTTAATGGCTTTCGTAAATTTTTCGATTCATTTGCAAACTACGAAATTCATTTTTGCGGAGGATACTGTCCTACTGAATCTCTCAGTGATCGAATAGAAACTCTGTGATTGGAATAGCACAGAGGAAAACAAACTAGGCTTCTGTAATCATTCCTAAGTTTCATCCACGCAACCAGCCACCACTCATCCTGTAATCAAATAGGGTAAAAGTGAAAAACACGTTCGAAGCCATCGCCCACATTCAAAAGATGAAATTGATAATGTTACACATCCTAAGTGTTCATAAAACTTGGCATTTTTTCGGGAGCTCTGCCTAACAGAACTATGTCATTTACCCACCCCAACTCACTTAAGTTATCTCCAAAGGTCTCATTTCTGTGAAGTTATCTGAGTCGAAATACACCTCCCAAATAATATCTATGATAGGACCAAAGAGAAATGAAGAGTGGATTTTTTTGAAGAATACTGTCTAATGTAATCCTCTAGTCACCAGTCATTTTGTGAAGGCTCTAATCCAACCGCGAATGCACAAGTATAGTCTTCATTAAGAAGTACTTAGATCGGTTGGAGGTTTATCATGGAGATCATAATACAAAGCTATTAACTGCTCCATATCTTGTACTGAGATTATTTGTTGAAAGCACTAAATCAAATAGCTTAAATTTACCTGGAAACCACTTCATTGGATGTACTGAAACCATTGTGAATCTATTTTCGGACTTTATCAATTGTCCCCTGGTGCCTTAGTTTTTTCACACAACCCTATTCGAACATTACTCAGATTCAGTAAGTCTTTTGAGTCCTCGTACTTGATTGCGCAATCACTGTGCATGATGATGTCGCGCATTATACCACCTAACAGTCTATACTTTAATGTGACAGTGGACACACACTAAACGTGTAAAACGAAGGTTAGTAAAGTAAGTAATCGAAAAACCGCTTAAGTATCTGTGCAAAAGGGTCCCAAGGATTGTAAAGACAAAAATAGAGCTTTAATGATACATGTTTATGCAGAAAAACGAATAAAAACACTTAGTCCAAATGTGAAAAGCAGATAAGTATCCATGATACATGTTTCTTACACAGGCGCAATTCACAAGTATTAATCAGTCACTGTAAAATGTAACTGTCAAATACACTGAGAGAAGATAATATGTACATGATGGAGCATTATCCTTTCAATGTTTATTTAACGTCTACTATTTGGGCGAAACCATGGCTGTGGACCACCTCTTGTGCCTCGTTCTGAAAGACCTGTACTGTAGTACGAAGTATGTACAGAGTAGGGATTTTCAAATGGGTAACTGCTGGATGGACGATACATGGATACGTTATTCCTAGGATAAGGATGATGACTAAAGGAACCAGGTCGCCAGTGGGAAGGTGCACCATTACCTCGTCTATCATAATTTGACGTGGCATTATACTGTCGGTGATTATTTTGACTGTGTTGGTACCTTGGTAATGAATTCACCACCATTCTGTGCATTGCTGAATTTGAAGAAAAATCGCTGTTATCGCCTCTCTCACTGGAGCCGTCTCGAGCATAATGCTGCATAGCTGACTCTGCATTGAACCTCCCACGGTGTTCGTCATTACGGAAACTGCCACGACCTCTCCCTCGACCGCGTTGTGGAGGTTGCAGATAAACAGGTGGCGGCAGTTTAACCTTAAAAACAATGAAAAACAATAGGATTCAATTTCAACAGAGCTGATCAATTATTTCCGTAAAACAAACTAGAAAAATTTGATACATATATCTGATATTATTCTGAGTAAAAAGTGATTTCAACTAGATTGCCAATCGACAACAACTGTAAACGAAAGATATCTTTATAAACTGCTTTGTAAATCCTAACAAAATAATTCAAGTTGATCGTTAAAACTGGTGTGTATGCTAAAATGTGTTCTGAGCTAGTGCCAATATTATAGTTGAAAAGGCACTGGAATGTTAGGAGATTTGAAGTTCAGGAGACGGCTGTTTTTTTCTCTCGTGATGTTTTATCATAACAGTTCCAAGTCCAAATTAAATGACTTTATCAGCATTCACTTTTTACGACACAGGAATTACTGGTTCAAAACAGAGAAACAGAATATTAATGTAGACTAGTTTTGAAGCAATAATTTAAACTTTTAAAACTTTTAACATGTTAGTTCCTTCATCCAATTGGCTTAGTTTTTCTGCTCGCTGTCAACTGAAAGGTGTAATGCGATCTCGATTCCATGTTTAGATAGTATTAGCTTATGAAAACGCATGTGATCGTATATGTGGCAAATATGTGGCGTGATAGCGTTAAAGACTTCTGATTTAACGGTTATCCAGTGACTAGTTGGATTTAGTATTAAACAAATATGTCCATATGTTTCTGATCATGACACCTCAGTAGGAACATAATATAACTAAGAGTATAACACTTCACACATTTTCAGATTCAACAAGGTGAAAATCAAATGAATGATTTGTAGCAATATAATTAGTAATATAATACTGTAACTTACAGATTCAAGCAATCGGGATGGAAAAATAAAACCTTCTGGATAGGACGGATCAGAGAAACATGCCGAAATGGCTTCGGAAGCCTTTATTGCGGGAACATGACCAGGGACTGCACTGGGTACACGATCACCGGGCAAATAAGCAGTTTTACTGCGCCAGATTAGACCAGAGATACCGGCAGTTACACGTGGATCAACAGCTGAGGCCCAAGACGGCACAAGCTGTTCTTCAGGACCACCTTTCTCCATTTCGTTAGCTTCTATTTTATATAGAGATTCCAATAAAGGACCAGCTGGATGATCAGCCCTACAAAACAACTGATCTGAACCACGAACATTTCGGTCGACTTCTTCTTTCGTTAGACGATCTCTTCGTGCATCCAAAGCTTTCAACAGACGAACCTCATCAACAAAAGGTAATAAAGCCACACCCATCCATGCATATCGTTTTCCATTTAGGTCGACTTTGAAATTTGTTGGGTAAAAATCAATGATAGGTGATTCAGGATCAGTCATTAAATCCTGCCAAGCTGGAGGAACATGACTTCGTGAATCAGCTGGAAATACGCCCATTAACTGTTCTAGAGGTCTAAATGGTTTTGTTTTTTCCTTTGTAAAGTCAACATTAAGCTCCTCAATTTTACAGAAGTCACTCGCGAATGGAGCATAATGGTATGGAAAATACCAGTCCCATGAAGCACATCCCTGGTAATAGTAGGCTAAAACCCAACACAAACCAAGTGCGTATTCCTGACCAACTTTCGTACAAAACTCTGGTGCGTCTTCAGGGTCCACGCCAAATTTTGACTGGTAATAACGCGTTCGCCACCCATCCTCCCAGAACCGTACTTCATCGGCCGCATCCATTAATTCATCTTCATTTTCACCTGATTTATTATTTGGAACAATACCCTGTCCACTTAAATAACTTCTTTCTCCTTCTAAATTTTTTCTCATTTTTGAAGGCGAAACAGTATCACCATCTGTCGTATGCGGATTTCCATTCTTATTTGCAGGCCTATCAATCAACATTGTCCTTAGAGCAGTAGCCGATTCAAGGTTATTCAAGTTTTTATCCACCCAATTCATACCTCCTTGTTGACGGCGTGCAGCTCGAAATTCATCGACAGAAACATTCTCCCCTACATAGCGACCTTCTGGGTGGGCTATTCCATGTCGACCACTCAGAGAGATGGGCTGCATAAAACTAGATTGTCCACTTTCATGGTTAGGACGTCTACCTAATCGTTGTGGATTCGAATCACGTTGATTTCTATCAAAGTTACCCGATGACGCATTTTGGCGTTTTCTTTTACGGAACTGTAATTCCGATTCACGTCGATTTTTAAAAATCTCATCTTCCATTTTCCCTAAATCAACCATGATGATTTGAACACGTTTCAAGTCGACTCTGCCACTATCTGTTAACCATCCTCCAGTTTTTTGAACTGTTGATTTGTAAATTTCTATTAGTCGGTCGATTGCGCCTTCGCGGATTTCCAAGCTTGGAAGATGAGGGAGAAAGTCGTTTCCGACGAAAAAGCACATAAACACCCAGTCATCAATAACCCTTTCAAGATCCCATTCAAATGTGATGCCTGGCAATTTTAGATCTTCTGACAGATATTGTCGTAGAACATTTAAACGAATAAAGATGAAATCCTAAAAAAATAGGAGTAAAATATATCAAAAATAATAAGCATTAATCTAGTTGTCATGATAGCTTTCAAAACATTTAAATCTTTGACTAAGCAAAGAACGCAGAATTAGGGGGGTCATCTATGGATTTGAGAGCAATTAACAGTGTGGTTCAGAGGTAGAGTGCTCGTCGACCATGCATTTGGTCTGAGGTTCGGCGCATTCCCGGTAGTAAGACCGGGAAAGACGGAAGGTTGGGCGAGAAACCGGCAAAGCTTGAAGCCCTATGTTCCACTGGGAACTCAAAGTAATAAAATAAAATAGTAAGTAATAATGACGGTGTGGTTCAGAAGGGTGGAATTAAAAGATCAATTCTATCACAATTAGTAGTTAATGGACATCGCATGGGTGGCAGTAGTCTCCAGGGTTTTATTACAATATGCCCGCGGATATTGCCCCTTGCACTTCTTCTACATCTTCATGCAATCGAAGCTATGGGAATGATACGAAACAAGCCAGAACTTTGTATTCATAGAGGGTACGTCCAGCTATCGCTTCGCACTCAGGCAGCATTGGATTGTATACCCCTCCCTCTATATTTCTCTCTTCACCATTTTCTTCTAGTTTAACTAGACAAGTTTAGTTATAGTTTTTTATGTAATAACTACCCTTCCACCCAAAAGCTTCCAAACATGTCTGATGTTTATACCTCCAGACTGGTAAAAACAAGCTATTCTAAATAACTACTTTGCTGTTATGTAATTCCATTTATTCCACATACCGCTTATTTCATGATGAAGTATTCATGTCAGCTGCACAATCTTTTGTTTTGATGTATATTATCTTTATACTGGTCACTCGCCGCATGCAAACATTCTACACCTCTGATATAAATTACCGATTTCCTTTACTCTCACTAATTAATTATCATCACCCATTCCAGACTATTTTGTTGTTACATTCAGCTCACAAGGTTTGTCATACAAATGCTATTTATCTTGTTACCTTACAACTTGAAACTATTCTCTGATTTTGAATACATAATCACATTGTAAATTAAAACGTGTGTCGCATACTTGGTTATTATATCGAAGAAAAATTCGGTTTTGTAACGGAAATAACCTGAAAAAAGGATACTCTTCATTCAAACAAGCTTTCAATTTGTGAAACAGAAATATTTCAGGCTCTAAAGTCACATATTTCTGAAGAGCATTGACAGTTTTTATTACCTCAGATAGTAGACAAAAGTATATTCAAAGGATAAATTTCATTAAAGAAAAAGTGGAATATTAAGTTCTCTAGTGTTAGGCTAATTTTCAGTCAAGATATTTCAACTTCACAACAAAAGAGGACAGTTTACACTTAGTCATAATACCCCGAACGAAGGGCTCCTAGCATTACGAAGTCAGTTATGAGCAATAACCTATGAAGAAAGCATAATTCTGTGAACTGACATTTCTTGAGATCCTTTACAATTCCCACCAGCGACGGAGTCAGATTGATAAACTAAAAAACAAACTCAACTACAGGTTAAACAGCTTTCATAGATAAATACTAGAAATTACTCAGACTGTACAGTACTCCACGTATGTGGAAATACAGATACCTTCGTTGATGAAGGTAGAACACTGTAGTAGAATTACACTAATAGTCTGCGCAGTTTAGTAGCATATGCTCCAACAAGGCAAATATAAAGCATTCAGAGCTTTTACACTTTGTGGCAACTGGATACAATCCTAATACCTATGCTTAGGCAGGTAAAATGAAGTCAAATATTTGCCTCTTAAATCAAAAACCCAAATCTTAGATATACAGTCAAATGGGACAAAACCATGAAATACTGCTTGTTAGGCATTTAAACATACCACATCACCAGACACTGGAGGGGGACGTTCATCTGGATCCTCTTGATTGGGTGAACCTATACAATCTTGCATATCATGCCCCAGTTGACCACATATTTCACATGGTTTTGGTTGATTCGGTTTAAATTCTTCACGAATTATGGTGAAATAAGGCTCATGCGTGGCTAAGCCAAGCATAATCAGGTCCGCATCCGCACCACAAAGACAATGTTTCGTATTGGCATCATGAGTCGGATTATTCCTTTGCCTCCTGATAAAGTCCATGATTTTATGCTCCCCTTCGCCAGGGACGTTTGCATCACTCAGAAATACCTCATTAAAAGAAATGGTGAATATGAACCATGGAATATTTTTGAGAAAACAAAATATCAAGTTGAATCTAATACAGAACTATTTATGCATTTCATTTCAAAACTCTGCTCATCCTGAAACTCGTTATTAGATTAAATAGACTAGTTACTGTTCTAAATTGTGCCTGCTCACCATCTGTAGATTTGATTTGTAAGTCGTTTTCAATGTGACTTGAACTAAGTCCTACATACCTACTACTTCAAAGGGGTTTGTTTAAATCACTCAGTTCTCACAATTTTCTTCGTAATATGTCATTTTGTGATGTACTAGTGATTTCTTTTGATAGACAGCAAAATGCATCCTAAGCCTACTTAGGGTTCATACCTTTCTCCGGAGAAGCGAGATTGTTAATTCACTTGATTCCTTTACTGCCACACACACACACACCAATGAGGTAAAGCCAAAGTAAGCCATTCTACATTTCAAAGGGTGAAAATGTATAGCATGCATGCTCACAGTTCAGTTCACGGATTTCATGTTGCATTTTATTAATCCCCTCACCTAACAGGGATATATAGCTTAAATTTCCCCTGGCAGTAAGTCGATTTCAACATGGCTCATTTGGTCGTACAAGATCGACTATCACACCAAAACAGCATCGTTGTTTGTAGGAACAAATAAATATAGTGATTACGAATGTAGAGGTGACAGCTTAAGTCTACTGCTAATAGCTCGAATTTCAAATGATAATCAGTAAATAGATCCACACAAAAATGTAAACTAACCATTAAATCCTTCCACCCCGGATGTTTTGTCAAGCGATCATATATGTACCCTCTGAGAGCAACAGCTAGACGTGCCATAAATGGTGTTCCAGGGGTTATACAATTGGAATCAAAATGCTCTTCTCTTGGAGGTGGCAACTTGGCTCCTTTACTAATTAGCTCATTCCTTATATTTTCAATAGTCATTTGTTTCTCCTTAGCTTCTTTAGCTGCCCGAAATCGTCTAGATCGTTGTTGATTCATTTTTGCACGCGGTGCCACTCCATCGATAGCCATATACAGAACTCTCCTAGGACGGACTATGGCGAATAACCTATCAATATATTCAAAAATGGCCAGGAACATTTCCTCCTCAGATTTAGGAGCAGGTTTATTTTCCGGATGGGTACAAGGATGGATGATACCATTCATGTCTAAATACAAGTTGTCGAACTCTTCGCCGTTAGGATTGGGTTCGGACGTATCTACAGGTACCCTATTGTCTTCATCATCCAAAGCAGCTCCCCGCTTTTCTACACAATGAGACACAATTGATGGATATTTTAAACTAAGCCATCTGAAAAAGGCCGGAACACCCATTTCGAATTCACCTGAAATGAGATAAACTGGAACTAAAGTAGGTTTATGGATAAGTAATTCAATCTTAAGTATTAAAACGTAAAAGTTATTTTTTTCATTCTGATCGCACACAAATGAACTTCAAAGTCAAACAAAATTGCATCTTTAAAAAAATTACTAGCAAGTTGACTCTGATACCTATTAATAAACGGTTGGTGAAACCCAGTGAATATCTGTAACTTCGTCCGAACTGATTAGTGGTACAAAACACCAGAAGAAATGCAACCTGCTTAAAGTAAAACTGACTAAAAACCCCCACTACGACATGAAGTAGCTTTGGTTCAAGGAAGTGAGAGGGGTGAGAGAGGTAACAGGATGAGATGATCATCACCAACCACTTTAGCTTATTCGACAGGCGGATTGCTGAAAGAATATGCTACGCGAAACCTACAATAATAAGATGCACGGACAAACCAAAACAATTACTAAATAAGTTGTGGAGGTTTACAAGATTCAATACCAGTAGGAAAATCGCAAGACCGGAATTCAATAAAATTCACAGGACCCACAGTAATATACTTGGACACTGCTTGAGAAAGTTGTACACCAGTTTGAACAAACTAAGAGTCAAATCATAAAAACAAATAGACCGATATGTCAATTGTTTCACTTACAATGGAAGCTGCATTAGCGCCAATGAGTTAGTTGACGACGTTACTTTATGAAGAACACGAATCCTACTGGGTGTTTGACAACTCACTTCATTCTCCCGGTCAGTAGTATGTCTTGCCATTCACTAAAGATGTTCCACGGTAACTAAGATTGGCACCAATGGATAGCTTAATCAATACCAGGAGCCCCAAGTGCTTAGCTGAGCATGGTCATACTTTGTTTTATAGCTGACGTCTGTTGACGGAGGAATTAAGAGTACTCACGACAATTCAGGAATGTCCCGTAGAAGGTGCGCTTATGTGTGAATAATCACACCTTAAACTCTTACGCCTAATTTCAGGTAGTATATTTTTCTAATGTTTGTTAATAACGTTTGTTGATTGCCTTAAATTCTGGGTAATAAATATTTCCGAAGACTCAACATTACCCAACTTCGTAACCGAAATGGCCTGGAAAGACTGCATGGTTTCGACAACAGACATCTTCGATTACGTTGTACAACACTAACTGCGCTATTACAATACTATGGAATCGGTAGCAGAATGACTACAAGTGAAGCACAGAACCACAGATTACATGAGAATTTAACATGTTTAACATGTACATTTAGCAACCAGGTTGTGTTAACTGAAGTCAGGTAACTAACTGGAAAATGTAGTTCTCCGGTGATAACACATAATCTCCTGTTCATTATTATTATTGAGTCGGTGGTCTAGCGGTAAAGACGCTCGCCCATCATCCACATGGTCCAGGGTTCGATACCCGACCGATGCACTCCTTTACCTCGCTAAGCCTGAAATAATGCTGGCAAAGAGGAAAGGTTAGGCATGAGGCCAGCAACCCCATCCTGTAAAACAAACACTGCTACGGAAACTTCAAGTCACTAGCTTGGAGCCCTATGCTCCACTGGGGAACGTGAGGTAAAGAAAAAACTATTATTAAGTAGTAATTATGTAGAATTCATATTTTCACCAGGTAATTCTGGTAATACGGGACTTTATGAAGGCTCTAAACAACACCTTAGAAAAGCATGAGTGCAGCTACTGCCTATCAATCTAGAGACCTAACCAACGAGCTCGTTAATAGGAATAAAATTACCGATTCAACTTGTCATTACTGGCGAAAACCCATGCTGCTTTACGTTAGTTAGGCACAATAGGGCATTTCGTTTTGAAACTAGGTGATCAGAAGGTTTCTGCATTTGAGGGTCGGAACGCTGAGTTGATGAAGTTTCCGACTGCAAAGGAAATCAATGTAGCCTCATACACTGTAAGACTAATTAATCGCTTACGATCCCCTAGGCTGATAAAAATGATTCCCTCTTAAATAAAAAATTGAAGTTTTGGCTTCGACGAGGGGAAGAAACAGGAACTAAGTACTACGAATCACAAACTGCATGAGGAACCTACCTTTACGCACCACTCAAAACTGGGTTGACATTTCTATCACTAAAACAAATTGCACTATGATGCCTTCACACTTCAAAGGCATACATATATCAAGTTCATCCCTCAGAGTTAAGTATTTGTTCCGGCAATATGCTGTTTTAATAATGATCCCAAGCTCCTAGAAAACTGCATCGCCACCACGCGTAAGTAGTAACGTTATTCACTAGTGGTAGCTGCGTCCTTAACACAAGCCAGTAACAGACTTGATACCGATGCAGAAGTTACCATCCTTTCCTCAAGGTGAGAGGTCATCAGAAGGGGACTCAAGTTTAGCACTTTCTTCCTTGACGTTCCCCACTGGAACATAGGGCTTCAAGCTAGTGACTTGAAGTTTCCGTAGCAGTGTTTATTTTACAGGATGGGGTTGCTAGCCTCATGCCTAACCTTTCCTCTTTGCCAGCATTATTTCTGGCTAAACGAGATAAATGAGTGCGCGGGAGGGGGTTGAACCTTGGACCATGTGGATGGTGGACGAGCGTCTTAACCGCTGTACCACCGATGCACTCGAGTTTAGTATACCTGTTGCAATTGGACGTCTGTCCCAACTCTCCGGAAGAGATGTATATTTTAACGAAAGTTCACGTTATCCTATACAGTGAGCTCTTTTTGCAGACGTCAAACTGCGTAGCTATCACAAGGCAAACAACTGCGTAGGCTAAGGTTGATTCGGTTGAGAGCACTGCTTTGATGGACGCAAAATTTCACCCAGCTAGGAGTAATTATTCGAAACCGATGAGGCCAGTTGATGATTCCCAGTGCATAAACATTAGAATAGGACACATAAATGTACCAGGCAGTTCTAGGTAAGGGAGCAGATTACGACAAACCAGATCGACGGGACAAATCTGCTGGCATCTCTAGCGGTTCGGCATACAATCAAAGAAATGCATATACCCATGCGGCTAGTTTGAACCAACCCAGAAGCAACTGGGAAAACAGCCAGGCTCTTCTCAGGTGGGGAATACTATGAAAACGAGTGACAGATTAATAGCAATAAAATGATAATAATCACGCTACTTCAAACAACAATTTTTCATACGGAATAAAATTTCCGGCATTATACATAGTGTACTCCGGGGTTTGTACACATGGTTGATACAGGAGTTGCCCTCAGTACCATATCGAAAACAGAGGTCAGGCCAGAGTAGGATAGTCCCCACATGCATGCTGCAAATTAAACGCTGATCGCAGCTTTCGGATTAAAAATGCCGTTACGTGACATCCATTTTAAGCGACAGTCTCAGTGGATTTTCACTGCCTAAACCTAGCAGTTCTTGACAAGTGTTTCATAAAAAGGCAAAAATTACCGGTCAGTAGCCGGAAAAGACTTCTGACAATGAAAGGAACACGCGGGTGTACAACTGGTGAGGCAGGAGGTAGTTATTTTCTAAACCTGTAGGATCTCCGACAGTCTAAATCTGAAGACTCCGGAAAATACTAGTGGAAGTTTCAACTCCGACAGTAACAAGGCCTCAAACTCCCAAGGTTGGCCTAGATGTCACATAAAATATAAGAACATATGGCCCTCAAGCCCTTGTGAGCTCACTAGGTTAGTCCAGGGAAAACGGAAAATATGTATTGCAGATTGCGGCTATATGCATCAGATGGGGAATATCCAACCCCGAAATAGTTGTCAGACTTCTCCATTAGACTGAGACTGTGACTGGGGCTCTTGTGGAAATTACAGAGCCCTAAATAAACAAAACGTCCTGGACAGACACCTAAGACCGTACTAATGGTCTTCTAGGTTGCAGATTATGCACCGAAACAGAGAAGAACACATGCGTGAAGCACCCGCTGCAACCCGAAATGGACTGTATTTGTTTTTGAGGAACTCATGTGGCCTTCGCAATGCTGCAACAACTTTTTAAAGAATTTCGGAAAATTTTTTGCACAAACTGTCATTTGTGAAAAACTAACTAGATGGCCTACTTATCGCTTGCCCGGATATGAACACATAAAGACCAAATTTACGTATTATTACGCAAATATGAAGGCAACAGCACCGCAAATAATCAGGGCGCGTTCCAGGAAGAGAAATAATAAGGTTCCTGGAGCGTGTCACCTACAGCACAAGGATAACACCAGTGTCCAAAAAGGTGCACCAGTGTTGGTGGACATTGAATGAACGCGTGGTTTGCTTATTCCAACGAATCTCCATGTTGGCCAGAGGCGAAAATGGTGGCTGTCAATGGAAGTAAACATTGAACGTTTGTTTACTGGAACTGGTAGCCATCGGTTGGCAACTCGAAGGCGCGAATAGTTCAATCGTATACAAGTTCGAAGAATGCGGAGGAATACGAATAAAGGTACATTATATTTTGTATAAAACATTTGTTTATAGACTTCTGCTTACCCACACTTTAAGTGACAAACAATACAACTTTCCTAAAGTACTGGTGTTTTGAGGTTAAAATCGAGAAAGTCATAGTAAATGTCGGTTCGGAGCGTCTTCGTTACCATGGGAAGTTAGGGTTAAGTACCTTGACAGTCTTTATTCTTCTGTTCACTTTCTGGAGCGCTTTCTGAAACTCTTCTGGAAGTACTTACTGATCTGCAGTCAGCATCTTTGGACACGGATTATCAAAGCAATTTGGATCCTTTGGTGACGCTGGATGATGCCTGCGCCAAAGAAGGGAAGTGGCACATTGAAAGTAGACAAAAAAGTAAGTAACGGTGAGTTGCCTGTCAATCGTAATGAAATGTATGATGCTCAGCATGATAAGTCTGATGTTCATGGCTCGCCGTCGAGTGATATTAGTGTTTTAAGTCTCCCCAAGTCTGAACCTCGGTACTTTAATGGAAACCCAGCTGACTGCCCACAGTTTATCAAGGAGTTTAAAGTCATGTTGAGTGGTTTTGTATCAAATGCTGAAATGAAGTTGATGTATTTATTGAGGTATTGCACTGGTGTTGCTGCAAGAGCCATACAGTGCTGCAAGTTTATGCCCCCAGGACGAAGGATATACAGAGGCTATGAGGATATTACGTCAAAGGTTTGGAAAACCATTTATGATATCCCGTAGTCCTTTTGAAACCGCTAAAGGTAATGGATCGCAGCTAAACGATAATTCAGAGGAAATCGCGGAGTTCTTGGACAGTTTAATAGTATATAGAAATACTCTCGTGTCTCTTAATTGCGTAGATGCATTGAACTCAAGTTCGGTGCTTAAGACTCTTACTAAGAGACTACCGGTTCGTTTGCAAAAGAAAGTTCAAAAAGATCAGCTCCCGTTTAGAAGAGGATGGTTTAGAGCCCGCGTTGGATGAAAGACAGTGTCAACCAAGATTTGAGCAAGTTTACTAGTCTAATGCACCCCACCTCTAGAATAGAGAAGTCTGAGAGCAGAACGCAATCATTTATGACGAAAGGATCACAAAGAAGTGGATATCGAGAAAGCTGTATGGTGTCTAGTAATCCATGCAAACCTAATGAGTATGACAGCTTCCGTGGAACGTCCCCAACAGATAGGTTACAAGTTGCGAGACAGACACGATTGAGTTTCGTCCGTCTGGAAGAAGTGCATACAGAGGTGAACTGTGAAGCTGTAAGCAAGTTTAGTAGTAAGCTAAATGTGAAGTCAGCGTCATCAAGGTCTGACTCCAAATCGTGTGACGATAATGGCGCGATGAAGAAGCCTGTAGTTGCAACCAGTAAGACATTGTTGGATAGAGTGTCACAGACCACACCGCAGTTTGTGCAGGAGAAGAGGGTTATAGTTTCAGAGTCCACTTCTGACTCCACAAGTTTACAAGGTATAGCCATTCAGAGTAAAGGCATAAAATCTTCAAGGATTTGTGAGTGTCGGACAAGTCTCATAAACCGTTAATGTCCAGCTCTTGCTACGCTGGGCCTCACGCTGACCCCCGAAGATTTTCAGAAACGCTTAGTATTAACCGACGCAAAGACCGAAACACTGTTTGGCGACTCATGAATTCTTTATTCTAACGCCAACATATAACCAGCAATACTGATATTATAGAGTAAGGTTTCTGACAGTTTTTTAATCTTCCTTCCGAATAGCGACCGATGAGATGATGACTGATGGATTGATGACTCCGCGAAAAATATGGGGAAGTTGGGTTTGAGCAAACAACCATGAATTGTTTGTTCAATCTCCAACTACATTGACAGTAAGGAAGAACCCAACTGTCTACTGCTGTTATTGAAGATTTTAGAAATGATAAAGTCAACCAGATAGACGACGGTAAAGTGAATATTTGTGGTAATGATCGTGATAGTGCACTTTTGTCTTTGGTTGATCATGATGAGATGAGGGGAATGCCTACTACTACTGAGTTGAACAAAGGTTCTGTACAGCTTGAACGTGAAGTAGACTTAAAGGCAGATGCGGTGGTAGAAGGTATATATACTCGTGAGACCATCAGTGTAAATGATCAGCGTGTAGCTCGCATATCGACAGATGTTAATACTAAAGTGGAGCTAATCATAAAAGATAGCAGTGGTGGTAATCCTACAGTTAGACAACCTTCTAAAGACTGAACAATAACAGCTTCTGATGCGTCGCTAAGTTCATCAACTTGCACCACTCAGTCGTCGTTGGCGGTCATCCACAATGAAAGGGACGTCCATGAACTCACATGCCTTTTGCTATGACTATGCTAGTATCGGTGCATCTGAAAAGACGAAAGATATTGATCAGTTTAGTGAGGATAAGCCAACTGTGTACGAGAGGGTAATTGTTAAACTGACTTGCACAAATAAAGGCATTTCAAGTTTCAAGTTACTATTCTCAATTTTAATAATAATGGTATATTCTCATTTTGTACATGAGGGACGCCAGTTTACAGGCATCATCAATATGATAAATTACATATACGATTAGCAATCATACTTAATAATGTTTTGATAAAATACATTTTTTTCCTACCTGTGTAGGATACACCAAATATACAGGCATGGATAAGCATTAAATAAATTACATAAATTTGGTTTATAGTTTAGTTACATGGTTGCTGACG